TTTTTGATTTTCATCTTTAATACACTTTACTTGAGTTAAATATTTACTTTTCTTCTCTCTTTGTTTGGCTAGTTTATACATATATTTTTCACCCTCAGTATTTAATCTATTATAAAGATCATTAAAAGCAAAATTTTTAACTTCACAGATTGTGCTTTTAGACTCCCTACGGGCCGTTTGATATTTTTCTCAGTTCTCTAAGTTTTTACATTTAAATCAATTCTTATAACATAACTTCTTATATTTTATCTTTCCTTGCACATTATTATTCCACCACCAACTATTTTTATTTATGAAAATTTTTTCTTTTGATTCTCCAAGCACATCTTATGATACTTGTTTACTAACGTTTGTTATTTTATTCCACATAACATTTGCTTCTTCATGGATATCCCAACTTTTGAAATCTTGAATTTTACTCATAATACCTTTGAATATCTTTTTCTAAGAAAAATACTTTTTGATTTTAATCTTTAATACACTTTACTTGAGTTAAATATTTATTTTTCTTCTCTCTTTGTTTGCTCTCTTTGTTTGGCTAGTTTATCATTTTTAATATTTAATCTATTATAAAAATCACTAAATGCAGAATTTTTAACGTTACAAAATTTTCTCTTTTCCCAGTTCTCTAAACCCTGGGCCGTTTGATATTTTTCTCAGTTCTCTAAGCTTTTATATTTAAATCAATTTTTATAATATAACTTCTTATATTTTATCTTTTCTTGCACATTATTATTCCACTACCAACTATTTTTATTTATGAAAACTTTTTCTTTTGATTCTCCAAGCACATCTTATGCTACTTGTTTACTAATGTTTTGTTATTTTATCCCACATGACATTTGTTTCTTTATGAATATCCCAATTTTTGAAATCTTGAATTTTACTCATTAAAATAATTTTATTTGTGTCGTTTAGGTTCCTCCATCTAATTCTACGATGAAGAGTCATAGTATTCTTTATTTTACAACTCTTCATCATAAAATCTAGAACTAATAAACGATGTTGGGTACTTAAATTCTCACTTGGAATAACATTATAATTTTTACAATCTCGACGATCTTTTCTTCTCATAAGAAAATAATCAATTTGTGTTCTATTTGATACACTTTTATAAGTAATAAGATGCTCATCTCTTTTCTTGAATAAAGTATTAGTAATAATGCTAAAATAAAATCTAAAATAGCTCTACCTTCTTCATTTATTACTCCAAAATTGTAGCCACCATGAGTATATCTGAAGTCTTCTACCCACTCTACCAACCACCCACATGCCCATTTAAATCTCCTCCAATAAAAATTCTTTCTTCAAGAGGTATCATTTGTATTAAGCCTTCTAAGTCATTCTAAAATTTATCTTTAGAACCTACTTCTATAAAAAATGATAATTCTTTTTATAGAAGGAAACACATACACACATTCTCTCTCTCTCTCTCTCTCTCTCTCGCTCTATGTATTTAAAGGATAATGTTTCACACTTTCACAAATTTAGAAACACTTCATAATAATTAAAACATAAATCAAGCATATGAGAAATAGAAAGATAGTCAAATAGGATATAGAAAGCCTTTTAAAGGTCTTGTTTTGCTCATATTGTTTACCGATTAATACCATCGATGGGCTCTAAAAATAGTCAATGGTCCTTTTATTTAATTCCAATGATCGGCTAGTCCACGTACTACTTAAATAATACAAGATAAGTTTAGTATTTTTCTCATGTGGATCAGATTTAATTTCTAAAGATAGTTGAGTTTTATTTATATTTTTTATTATTATATCAACTAATATACAGAAAAAAATGGCAGTAAAACAATTCTATAACCTGACTTTTAACTTAAAATGAGATAAAATATGAATTTTTGGGTTCATTTAAGCTTCACCTAAATTCGTAGATTATTATAATAAAAGTGGCTGTCAATCAAGAACCATTGAATTTTATAGTCTCTTCTGGTGATTGGAAGTATTAACCTTTTAGTTTAATTGGCTATATTCATATTTGTACTGGAATCAAAAGATAGTATTAAGTATTGTTCTTAAATTATTGCAAGTTCTAATTCAGTATATTTCTATTTCAACTAATAACTTGTTGATATATCTTGCGCAAATATAAAATAACTCTTCCAGTATTGTTAGATGCAAAAAAAATTAAATGCATTATTGGTTACATGCTCAACTAAATGAAGTTTAAGATACATCAAACAATTATGAGAATTAAAATCACAACAAACACACTATTTCATCAAGTAAAGCTGTTTGTCTATATAATAAACCCAAAAAATAACTTCGTTCATGTAGGGATTTAACATACAATCCATAAAACTAAAGTTAATTATAGTAGGCGAGGAAGAAAATATGAGTAAATCGAAGAAGTTACACTTAGTGATTTTGTGCCCAAAATAACTTTGAAACTTCTTCTTCCTTTCAATGACTTCTCCTCCACTTGGTTTGATGCTCTCCACTCTATCTCACTCTTTCAGTCCCTGTTCTAGCCTCTCATATATTTCCAAAAAATTGCTTCAAACCTTCTGCGGTTATTGGATGAAAATTGCTTAAAAATTACAAAACTACGGGCGAGAGCGCCGTGGCGCTCTGGTCAAGCACCAAGATGCTCCATTCTCTGTCATTGGACTGGTTTGGGAGCGCTGCAACACACTGCTCAAGCGCCTCTTTGCTTTGCTTTTTATTTTTAGCATGTAACCAATTTGAATATCTTTTAATCCCTCTTTCTTTATGTTAGCGCCGCAATGCTTTTTTTTCTGGTTGAATTGTTGATATGAATCATCAGAACGTTGCTACCAAGTATTGTGCTGCAACACTGTGACCTGTTTTCCTTTTATAAGTGCATCTTCAAAATTTTGCCTCCTTTCATCTTTGGATCAACTTCTGCTCCTTCATTATTCCATCTAATGTAATTTATATTTACAAATATATTTAATTTTTATTGTATATCCATTTAATTTTCATAAATTTTTATTAAAATTGTGTAAAATGACTATCCTATTGATTCAATAAAACACACTTTTCATCTAACAATTTGAATGCCTTTATACTTTTGAAATGGCAGTTTTATCATGCAATCAAAACTATTAATTATAAATTTTTTTATGCATTCAATTGCTGAACAATCCCTTAAAGGCCTTTAAATCGATAATATCACTAGTTTAATGGTATTAAAAAAGTGAGCTGTTTTTATCTTGCATCATCGTAATCTCTTTGATTTGAGAATTCCCTTGAATATGGAGTAAATCGATGATGTACACCATTCAATATAGTAAACGACAGATTAATTGTATTTTCTATGATTACTTTGGTCGTAAGTTATAAGATTGCATGATTTAACATTCCTTATTTTTTGTTTTTGCTATATGTTTCAAATAAGTGAATTTGTTCATGGTTAGTATTTCTAAATCTCTCTTTTCTTTTACCATGTAAAGATTGTAAGCAAAAGAGAAAAACAGTAGCCACCAGATAGCGGAAGCATATTAAGGCGTTAGTATTGCGGTTTTACTTTTTCTGTTGCTGCCGCTTATGCATCGGGTCTAAAAATGGGTGGAAGTCTTGATACAATCTTTCTTATTTTTTGTGCATTGTGTTTTGTTGGAGTAGCTTGAATTTGTTTATGGACACCTCTCTCTCTCTCCTTTCATAAATTTTTCTTGTTTAATTTCCAGGACCTCAAGAAAAAAATATAAAATTTAATTGTCTATTTCAACTGTAAATGGTTGTTCATTCGTGAGGCTTTCGAGTCAGCAAAATTAATTTTCTACGCGTGCATGCCTTTGAATACCACTTATTTTGGTTGTCTCATCTCTCAAGGGACATTCGTTTAAATCCTTTATTTTTTCAGGCAAAAAGCCTTTGTTCTGCTAAAGGCTTATTCTTGAACAAGTTTCACAACTGATCAGTGTTTCTGCGTGATTTATCTGTTGCCTTTGAGCTATTAAAAATTTGTACTTCTTTGAATATTTATAACCCCTTTATGTCTCTAATTCTTATTTTGAACGCACAGGTTTAATGAGTTCGGCAGTGATGGTGGCCCAAAAGCTCAAGCCTTGAGGCCCAAATATAACGTTTTCATAAGACATGTTACCACCACTCTGGGCGTGGAAGTGCCTAAAGTTGAAGTGAGCATTTTTCCCGTCATTTTTCCATTACAATTGTTTCATTATTCTTAATTTTTCCCTGTTTCTTTAGATCAAACATATTGTTGCTGCTAATATTGCACTGAAAGGAATTGGAGGCCTTCTCTTTATCCTCAATAGTTCCCTTGGAGCTTCCTTGCTGGTAAATATTTTCATCTTCTTTACGATTTGATTAGTTCTGAAAATGATGGTTTTATATTCTCGCAGATTATTCAATTGGTGTTGACTGTTCCGATATTATATGATTTTTACAACTATGACATAGAAAAGCCAGAATTTGCGCAACTGTTTGTCGACTTCACGCGGGTTTGTTGCAGTTTTTCTTATTTCTTCATGTGCTTATCATGGAAATCATGAAAATCAAGGTTAAACTTATCAGCACTAAACATGAGTTTTTTTTTTTCTTCAGAATCTTGCTCTATTTGGCGCATTACTATTTTACCTGGGAATGAAGAACTCAACACCGAAAAGGCAAGGTAAGAAGAGAGCTCCCAAACCAAAAACACACTAAAGTGAAGATAGTGGCATTTAGTATCATCATTGTCTGTTGTTCTGATTATTTTTGGTTTCATGATATAGTTTAGTACATGGTTTGTACATGGAACTTGCTTTTTGTTCTAAAGGTGAACTGGGTATTCTATACTTGTATTTTACTGGATTCTTTTTCCAAGGATGCATTTCTGTAGACCCACCTCTAAGAAGGGCTGTAATTCTATATGCCTCATTTTGATGTACAACGAGCCATTGCAGGACATCACATGTTTGTATGATTAGTTTATTCCAAAGAAGTTATGTGCATTGATAATCGTTTTAGATGTGCCGACGCATGTTGCTGTAGTTTATGCCAATAATATGAATGCGAATGGTTAACTATCTTTCAATTTTTGTATGGTCCAGTTGTGGTTGATGCTGTGCTTTCTGGCTTTCATGCCTACTCTTGCATTTTATTCAATTTTGGTAGGAAGATCCGAGTTCTTTAACAAACTATTTGGAGCCTTTTTTTTTAAGAAAAAGCTCTTTTTTGATTGAATTGATGAATGATATATCATAAAATATATAATTTGATTTTAGGGAAAAAGATTCTTTCACGTTTTCTGCTCTTAAATGTTGCTTAATTGAAAGGGCTTCCCAGATCATCACCCGTGGGCTTAGGAAGAAGCACTGTAACAGATATTTATCTATTTTAATTTAGAAAAGCTTGCTCTCATTGATTTTTTGCCCTCACGCATCAAACGCACCTACATTGCATATGTAAGGTCTTGAATTTAGGGATCTCTTGATTGAAAGGCAAAGTTATCAGTGACATGATCAAGGTGACTTGCATAGCTTGATTTGGTAGATTGATCTATCCTAGGAGCAATAATCTGGTCAAGTTTATGTTAATCGGTTTAGCATGAAATGAAATGTTTTGATTTTAATTAAATTTGAATAAGGATTGCAATGATTGATTAATTATGTTAATTTTCTTAAATACTGTAAACTTTTAATCAAGATGATTATTTATTTATATATGTATGTATTTAAATATTTATTAGAAATCATTTTCTAATAAATTTAGTATAAAATTTTTTATATTAAAATAAATATTTATGTTTATGATGGCTGATTTGAGTTGGAATCAAGTGTTTCTCACGGTATGTTGTCATTAGGGTTGTAATGATTCTGAGTCAATTTTGCCATTGTATGGTTTAGCTGGTTGAATTTTCATGTAGTTCAAGTTTAATTTTTCACACACACATATAATTAAATTTAGCTTAATGATCAAGTTTGACTTATTTTCAATTTGTTTATATTAATTGTACAAGATAAAATTTTGATTAAAAATTTGTTTTTCTTAAATAAAATTAAAAATTAAATATTTATTTAATTTTTTTATGTTGAGCTAATAGTTTTGAATGAGTATTTGGTTTTTTTATTTAAAGTTATTAATAAATAATATTATAAATTTATATAAATAAATAAATGATCAAATAAATTTTAAATGAATAATTAATTTATTTATATCAAATAAATAAAATAATAAATCAAGCAAAAAAAATAATATATAAGTTATTTTTTTTGTAAGAAAATAATATAAATAATTTCTAATAAATTTATTTCTTAAATAAAAATAAGAGATAATTATTAAATTTATATGCATATTAATATTTTATTATAATATATTATTATTAAATACATAATTAAATCAATTATAATTAATTTAATTTTTTAAAAATAAAAATTATACAAGTATATAATATTTTATAAATTATATGTTGAACAACAATGAGTTTATTCCTGAGCTTTAATAAATGAATTTTTATGCTTAAATTTAATTTATTTAACAATAGTCTTAAAAAAAAATTAAATTTAGTTATTTACTAATTTGAAAAAGTATGATTAAATATTAATTGAACCGACTTAGAATTGTTTAACAAATGCATTGGTTAATTTACAGCCTTCCTTGTCATTTAGTTGAATCACATTGTTGATATTGAGTATTGGCCCTGCAAGGAAGCGTTAATTTAACGAGGGAACCATGGTGGATGAATGGTATTTATTTCATCAAGTTTGGTGGGAACTTCGTATGTTCATTGTCTCACGGATCAAATTATTTCATACAGTTTTTAGAAAAAATGCACGTGAAAGATTATAGTATCTTATTACTGTAAATGTAGGCCATCGTAGCAGAAAGCCTAAGGCTTTTCAAAGTCTCGATTAACCTTAATGAATAATAAAGTGTCACATTGTGAGATGTTTAAGCAAATACTAAATAAAGTGTCACTTGTAATAATTCCTTTTTGAGTGAGAGATTACTAAAATTATGAAGATTACATCTTCTTCTTAAAACAAAATTCTCAAATTATATTGTGTGATTTTCTTATTATTATAAACTCTTTGATTGAGATTTGATTTGAATTTTTTTGGGAGATGATGCCATCAGAGAATTTCATATATATTTAGTGTAATGTGGGCAGTTGGTGGCTTGTTGATGGACAGCTTCGGCGTAAGTGCTCTTTATCTCAGGTTCGAATCTATCTGGGTTGAATTACGACATATGGGATGAATAGACAAATGTTACTGTCAGTCATTTCAATATATATATATTAAGATCATTTTTTATACAATAAGCTCAACTCTTCCTAGGTCTACCTCTGCCTTTATTAACACAAGTCGAATCTAAAACATCTACTTTCCTAATCGGATCATCAGATGGTCAACGTTTAATGTGACCAAACCACCTAAGACGACTTTATCTAATTTTGTCCGTCACGTGAGCTACACCAACTCTATCACATATATATTCATTTTGTATTTTGTCTCTAAGTGTAAAGCCACTCATCCACCTAATCATTCTCATCTCGACAACACTTAACTTATTATTATGCTTCTCTTTTAAAGGCCAACATTCAACACCATAGATCATTGCAGGTCTCACCACCGTCTTATAAAATTTTCCTTTCAATCTAAGCGGTATTTTTCTATCACACAAAAGGCCCAAAGCATTCCTCCACTTCAACCAACCAACTTGAACTCTACTATTAACATCCCCATTTATATCACCATCGCTTTGAACAACAGACCC